AGAGAATATAGAAGATAGCGACGCGTTTGAAGAATAATGTCTTGTTCTACTTAATAAGAAAAATTGTGGTAGTGTTGCGTAATATTATTGCAAAGGTGGGGTGTGGTGGTGGAGCTGACGACTCGGTGGGGTTGACGACTCGGTGGTGAAACACGTTATACTTATATTCTAACTTTGTGAGAGGATATCTCAAATCTTAAGTTTCTAAGATATAACTACTATAATAAGATAAGTTTTATAACTATATCTTAATAAAATAATTAAGATTATTCTTATACTACTAGCTTAACACCTAAGGTTAAGTAAAAATAAGGCTATCTTTCTTTTTAGCTATCTTAACGCTATTTAGTCCAAAGTGTTATAATTCAGTACATTGAAGCTCGAATGCGTACGTATATGTACAATTCTAGATGCTGAATCGAATTATGACGTGCAAAAGATCTTATCAGCCTTGTTGTGGCTGTGTCAAGCAAGGTAAAGCAATGTTGCCACCCTGACTGGTATCTCCAACCAATCATCAAGTGGCTACTCAGCACGCGCGTTGAGAAAGGAATGTTGCTGCCTAGAATTTCGCTTATCAGCTTACCTATGAGTCATCTAAGCCTTCGTTCTCGCTGATTACTTATTCCTGATGAACCCAAGCCAAAGCTGTGTTTGTTTCAACATTGTCCCCTCTATCAACCTGTTTAATATCCACGAAACTTTCCAGTGTCAAATTACACGTAGGCTCAAGAGTTGTTATTTGGAGTTTGAATAAGTGTCTATTCAGATAAACAATAGCACTCTAGTCTGTTCTGAATTTCCTGTGATACGATGACTCCTTTCCGTCCTCACACCTGTAGGAAGTGTAGGAGGATTGTAATCGATGGTACTGGTCCCGAAGTCGACCTTTCCTTGGAGTTTTCATATCGCAAAGTTAAAAAACTTAGCAAAGATTGCAAGTTCTTCCGTTGGACTTTGAGATCGTCAGCCAAGCGTCTACGTGCATCATACAAATTGAGTTTATCTATATCAACCGATTCCGAGGACCTTGTATATCTTAACGTAGGGTGGATGGATGAATATGATAAGCACGTGTCACCAGGTGACGGAAAGCGACAGCTGCACATCTTTAGTACGGAACGTAAGTTGTCAACAGTCACATGCTATGCTCATGGCTAACAAACGCAGATGGAGATGCTGCCGAATACATTAAATCAAGGCCCCTCACACGATCTCGAGCGTCATCAGTCACACTAGAAAAGTGTTTGGAACATTACAAAAGTTGTTTAAATCACGAAATGTGTAAGGAGGCCCTGAGGAGTAACAAAAGAAACACAGCACCTAAAAGTCTCCTCGAGATTCGACAAAATTCAGAACTGTATTTATACACAGTCCCTCAAGGGGAAAATCCCCTCTACGCAGCATTGACCTACTGTTGGGGTAATTCACAGCAACAGCAAAATGCAAAAACGACAAGCGAAAATGTTAAGAATCGGCATGGCGGAATAGACAAACGCCAGCTACCGCAAACGATTATAGATGCTGTCAAAATAGCTCGGACACTAGAGTTGTCTTACCTTTGGGTAGATGCGCTCTGTATCGTCCAAGACAATGTGTTGGAACAGGAATCGGAAATGTCAAAAATGGAAAGCATTTATAGTGCAGCCACTATTACCATCTCAGCAGCTAGCGCTAATGATAGTGCAGAGGGGTTTCTTGGGGATCGTGACCTTAAGAAAGCGTATGGTAATCTGTTCAAGCTTCCGTATCACAACAAGCGTGCCGGTCATGTGGTGAAAGGTTGGTTATTACTCTCTGAGCACCCCATCGCAGATACGTATGAAGAAAATATCGACAAAAGAGCATGGACAATGCAGGAAGACATGCTCTCGGTCCGTCTTTTACGATTCGGTTCAAAGCAGACGACTTGGCGGTGCCTACATCTATCCGAAAGCCTGGATGGAGGAGGTTATCCAATGTTAAAAAATAAGGATCCTGATTTTTCCGTGGATGATCCTCACCGAAAGATCGAAGTGCAGTCTAATGTCTCGTATAGTGGTTCATTGGGTGGCTCATGCGTAAAGATAAACTGGCTAGACGCCGTAACCGAGTATACACGTCGAAAACTCACGATACCAAGCGACAGACTGCCTGCTTGTGCGGCGCTTGCAAAGAACTTTGGAGATATAATGGGCTTCGATTCATCCCATTACCTTGCAGGGTTATGGAAAGACGACATATGTGCACAACTTCTATGGCGTCGCCTAGAAGCGAGACAGGCGGAAAGTACATGTGGCCCCTCTTGGTCCTGGTCGTCCATTAACGGACCCGTAGAATTCTTCGAACGTTATCTTTTGGAGGACTGCAACTTTGAAGTAGATGCTGCAGCAAAATATGTAGGCAGCTATAGGGACTCCATGCCTAACGATCATAAATACTCTGACGTTGGATCAGGCCGCCTTCAGTTAAATGGTCGACTGAAAGAGGCACACTGGGATTCTCTCTCTCTTCGACGAAGCATTAGCAATGTTGATGTCTTACCCTTGAGGATATATTGGGATGTATCTGGTGGCGTTAGTTCACGAACTGTGTGGTGTTTTGAAATAATTGGGTCATATATTTCGTTGGGCCTAGTACTTAGAAGAGAAAAGCAGAAAGGATACAAGCGCGTTGGCTATTTTGAATGCTCTATGGAGGAGAGCACGCTGGCCATGAAGTCCTTCTTTGATGAGACTGAGCCTCAGACTATTGAAATCTACTAGGTACATACTTGTAGTTACTATTTTTTTTAAATTCAGATGTCTCCGTTAGTGGCAAAGACGTCCACTTGGAAACAATGATGATCGTGAGGCTGCGCTTAGTATGAAGCCAGTTTTGCTAGTGACTGTAACGGCAACTACTTAACTTACATCCCTTTGTGCAGAAATAACTGGTGTGGCAGAATACCATTTTATAAGCAAGTAGATAGTAGCCAGAAGACCTTATTCAGATATATCCACGAGCTTCCATTATCTTCACTTCCACCATGTTCTAGCTTCGGCGATTAGCTCCTAGTCCGGCCGGTTTGCAGACACGCTTTATGTGCTAACTCTATAGCATCTATTCCTATTAGCTTTGTGCTCTTGCGAAAAATAAAGCAGCTTACTTTGAGCTGTTACTTTGTTAAGTCCCATGCTTATTCCCAGGTCTAATAACACTTCCAGCAGTTCCTTCGTCGTCGCCCTCAATATCTCATCCGCCCTCGCCCTCATATCCCCTTTCCATGCTTCTTCGTCCATCGGCCCAACATGCCTTGGCTCTGGCAATAAGTGAAGTCCGTATTTGTGTGGTACTTTCACTACTACCTCGAAGAATGTATCATAAACGGATCTGCTATAATCGACCTGGATATTAAGGGGCATTTCGGGGAAATTGATCCGCGAATAGGTAAGCCCCATTAGACCAAAAACTTTGTCGCGTGGATCTTCGCAACCACAAGTATGAAAATCGCGAAACAAATCAATCAAGTCGCGGGGCCGTATGTTGTCCTTGAACTGTGCACTTAGTAATGACGCAGCAACCGACCGAGCTGCCTGCAGCTGTTGCATGTCATCTTTGGACATGTGTGTTAGAGCGCCTTGCATGTCTGACCAAAGTAGCCATCCTCCACCTTCCACGAGAACCCGAAAAAAAGGGGCAAGTAAGATTTCTTGTACGATCCACAGACGTGTGAAGTAGGGATTGCACAGTATTGGCACCAAAGCTTCCGGGCTGAATGATGTGCTAAAATCCCGTGCAGCTATTGAGCAGACGTCCGAACCATCTAGGCTGCCGATCCATGTGATGACGGATTTGCATTGCTTGTAGATCCTTGACATAAGGTTAACCTGGTGGTTTCGTTCACGAACATTCGATTGATCGATACAGATTTGATCGACCCACAGTAGTTCTCCGCTTTCGTCATGATTTCCGTACGAAGGTGGCCTGTATCTGTTTACCGCAGATCTGTTCGCGCCAGTGTATTCATGCAGAAATCGATGAAGATTCTGTCGGATGTGCAAACACTTGCCCTGTATGAGCAGAGGATATGTCGGTTGTGGACATCCCCATACATACGAGAGAGCTCTGTACTTTGGAAGTGTGTCGAGGTCGTGAATCACGATATCGCATCTGAGCTTCTCACTAGTACTTGTCTTTAGTAGTCTAAGTAGACGGATCTGTTGCTTGGTTTCGTCAAGCGGCTGATACTCGAAGATAGGAACGTCATAGATAGTTGTTGATCGTATGCCGGTTGCATTTGGATCCGCGGATTCTGGAAAATCTCCAAGCTCCATAATTGTAGATATTTTTGGACTGACTTTTGACGTGGGGTAGGTAGCTTGTGGGCTGGGTGGATGCTTTTAGGACATGAAGAACTTGGGTTGGGGTGGCTTAATGCATTGCCTTTGGCGCCCCCGTGCACAGCGCGTACGCAGAACACCAAAACACCTAACCACCAACCAAATTCAACGTGTCGTTACTCTCTCAATACAAACACTATCGACAAAGCAACTAAATGTCTGTGGCTGCCTGAAGTAGTGAAACAACACATTTGAGACGACGTTGCTCTCAAGTACCGCTGCAGCGGCAGTGCAGTAAGTGTCTCGAAGATGGCAAGGCGTTTCACGCGCCAGAGTTGGGCTGTGCTAAGCTCTAGGCGTCAGGTCACTGGCTATCTTGAGCATACCCCTATTTAGCTATCCCGGGAACCAAGACTATGTCAGCACTGCTCATTAGTGCATTAGATACGGATATACTAGACTATGTAGCTATCACGCATAAATCAGTCCATAGACTAACCTCTATAGCTAGTAAGTAGGCTTAGAAGATTCTATTCAATACCCAGACGTATGTAGGAGCAATAGACATATTATAATAGATAGTACTAATAGTAGCGACCTTATAACTCGCAAGGCATATGATTAAGATAAAGTAGGTGGCTTCGCAGATTTAGAGAGAAAGTGTCTTCACCGTTGTGGTTTTTACATAAGTAGGCATACACCTACTTAGAATCAATTCTAAAATGCACTTAAATAGACTAATATAATAATTATAGTATTTACAAGCTATAATAGCGCTACAGAGTTGAGGTACCTCTAATTTTGTCTGTTACGGCGGTTGTTCTGTTACGAAGGGATGTAAATTGATTACATCCAACAATCTCATCGCGCATCATAGGCATCTTAGGACCGCCAGATTTTGCAATGCTGTCCTAGTCGTCTTAAATTAGTATAAAGTTTTCGGGTATACATCACTCACTCGTACACACTTGTTAATTATGAAATTCATCACACGTGTCATAAACGATAAACATATGCTCAAACTTTCATTTAATTCAAAAGCTCCATCCCATTACCCCATTGTACCTCCAAACCCCAATCGCTTACTAAGTCTCTCGAGTCTCCTAGGTCTCCTATCTCTCCTTTGCCTGCTTCATAGCAAGGTATTCTGCCAGCGTGTACTCTACTGCCTCTTCGTGGCTCCAGCTGGGAAGCAGGTTACGTACCTTAAGTGTCTGAACCGCAGCCTCTACATCTGCCTCGGTGTAGGTAGTTTCTCCAGTCATCTCGAGCATAATCACTGCGGCGTCGAGTTCCCTCAGAGTAAAGGTCTTGGTCTTTTGAGGAGCCATGTTTATTCTGCTCGTGGTGTAATTTTGTAGTGTTATGTGGTAATTTTATGTCTATAGTAAGGTATTTATCGTATTTAGTGTGATTGCTGTGTTCATTGGGGAGGTAGATAGGGACTGGCTGGTCATATTTTATGTAGTGAAGGTGCAGATGAACAAGAGCGCTGTGAAAGAGATTTTAAAAATGAATAATGGATGGCATTGTTGATCAAGGACGTAAGTTGAATGCTCAGGCTCACACACGGCTAAACGTATACTACATGTAAAATTTCTAATACAAGCATTGTTTCCGAGAGGGAACAATGTATCTCTAGCTCGAGAACACAAGGTGTTCAGCTCCTTCTGGGATACAATCGCTTGCGAACAGGGTAGAGACTCGTTCACCACCCTAGCTATACCTAAAACGGTGGGCAAATGGAGATGGAAAACGGAGAAACTGAACGGGCTCTTAGTCCGCAAGCTTACTTAAACTGTTTCTGAGTACTCCCCATGAAATAACTAAAAAGGGCAGTTCTCCGTATGTGGAGAAGTTATCGCCAAGAGAAGCGGTACAATCGATCTTGTAGTGCAATCTCACCAGATCGGCATGTAATACACCGGGATAAAGCCGTCGAAGCAACAGTCATTTACTATACAAAGTCCGCCATTTCTCAGCACTGTAAAATAAACATTGTCTATTTAAAAAGGGGAGAATAATCTAGCCAATGAGAGACATAGTTCCAAATTGACGATACCCGTTAGTTACGCTCTCTCTCTCTCTCTCTTTCTCTCTCTTCTCTAACAAACCGGAAGTCCTGGCAATGCACATAAGAGTAAGTTGACTTCAACGACGGCACACATACAAAGCACGCGCATGCACTTACTAAAAGAAGATAAGCACTTTTCTATTATCTCTTTTTGCCAAGACGGCTTTCTCTACTTATTTTACTTAGAACTAAAGTTTAATGTAAGGTAAAAAAGGTTTCAAAGCACTTAGCAGATATCTTTCATAGCCTATGGCTCTTTAGCAGAAAATGATCAAGACTTGTAGAGAAGCTCCACCAGGAAAAGTTAAGAAGAGCTACCGAATGTAGTAGGGAAACGTTTTTTGTTACAGAAAACTAACTAACTAATCTATTGCGGTACATGGCCAAGATTTTGTGCCGTGGAGACACTAGAATGATGATTAGGCTCTTCTTCGGATCATTCTATCCCTAATTTACCACCGAGAAATACTTGGCTGTTCTTGACAACCACAACTCTACAAACTATAGCTCGTACTCTCTTTCCCAGTTTGTATCCTCCCCTTGCTAGTGCCCCACGCACAATACTTCTGCCATATACCATAGTAAATAGCATTTGTTACTTCAACAGGGACCCCTTACATCTTCCGTTGGATACGACAAGACGCAGTATAGTATGTACTCTAGTAGTTTCGACCCTTCAAGCTACAAAACCCCCCTCACAGCCCTCCTCCTTTCCCTCACCCCCAACTCTACGAAGAGAAAAAAACTCCCCATTTAATCAAAGTCCTTGCAAACCCACAACAATGAGACTCCTCACCCTCATCCTCAGCCTTACCACAACATCTCTCGCCCTAACCACCGGGTCATCCCTCGGCCTCGACCTCCTCGAACAAGATGGCTCCATCCGCCACATCGACGACGCATCGTAACTCAGCGGACAAAACTGGCCTCAGTGCTGTAGCATGAATTGGGCGACGCCGTGCTTCTGTTCCAGCAATTGTCATAGCTGTAGTGTATGTGTATCCTTTTCTTTTCCCTCTTTCCTTTGGAAAAAGGGCGGTGGCGGATAAGGGTGTGGGAAGGGGGGATATACTAAAGTAAAGAGGGGAGAGATATATAAGCTAATAGAATGCTTGTGTTATAGAGAACATGTTGCTAGGGAAATAATTACTGGCTTTTTAAATACGGACTGAGGGATGGAAGGGGAGGTCTGGACTAGGGTGGTTACGCAGTTATGAGGAGGGAGAGGTGAAGATAAGGAGTGGGTTTTTTGGAGCACAGACTTTGCACACTATTAGGGTGATTTATAAATAACAGGGGGTGTAAAAGGGAGTTTTTTTTTCAAAAGAAAATTAACTGAATTGTTGATGAAGAGCGTGAGTCGGACAATGTTGTTGATCTTTACGTCGGAGTGAAAGGGTTGGGGTTTTGGTGCAAAGACTTAGTCAAAACATTATGTGGTGGAGCCACTTGATACCGACAGCCTTTTTGCCGTGCGATGTTGTAATCGGCGAATCTCGATCAAATACACGCCGAGAAATGGTACAGGTTGGCTTTCACAATGAGGAACAATGTCCTCTAATAATCTATTTCATCTGGCCAAGGTTTTCTTTCTTGTTGATTTGACAACCTTGTATCTTATTCATGAAGCTCACCCATTCTCACTATCTTGCACATACCTCGACTCTTCAAATCTCATCGCTATCATTCCACTTCTCCTCGCTCCCCTCTTCAGCCACCTCATCCTCCCAGTTTTGATTTACCCACCCCTCCCACTTGCCTTCTCTAGCCCTCTCCTTCAGGACCGCATTCTTCGGGTACTGATTAGGCCACCCATCCTCCCTCCACTCCTGCAGCCTAGTAGCCGCACGATGACCAAACTTGTCATTGCGGAACTCAATACGCGGCATAGCGTACAGCGGCTCAATCGGCGCCAGCAGCGTCCTTGTAAAAACGGCATTTCGAGGCCCAGCTCTAGAGAGGCCTAGTACAGTCTTTATTTTCGCCTTTGCCTCGGCGTAGATTTGCTGGTGGTTTGCGGGAGTAATCTTGCTCAGAGCTTCGGTGTAGATGTCCAGGACAGCGCCGCGGTCGCGAGGACAGCAGATTTTGCTGTTGAGATCGCTGGGGACTGATTTTGTGAAGCGGAAACGCTCTCTATGGAGTTTGCTGAGTGTCTGTTGTAGAGATCCTTGTCGTTTACCATCTATCCCTGGCGAAGTGGGGAGGCTGTTTACATCGTTTCCGAATTGGAAGTCGGACCATGTCAGCCCAGTTTGCCTTGGAGGCGGGAGTGATGGTGGAGTTGATTGAGCAAGTTTGAGTTGCGACATGATGCCTGGCTAGGTTGTTGTGTTGAGAGAGGGTGGAGCTAGTTAAGTGAATGGTCTTGAAAGATATTGATATAGGGCGGTGGAGCATCCACTGTTCACTTAGTGTAACGCTATTCACTCATACCAACAAGCGCGTGATGCGCCAATGCTTGCCCAGGCGCAAATTTTAGTCAGCGGAGAGTTGGTGCTGATAACGAAACGGGAAGGAGCGCTAGTGCTGCCCAGATATACACTTCTCACAGTGGCCAAGCGACATCACTGTACACTCCATCATGAAGTTAGACTTCTTTCAGGCTATATCATTGTCAACACATATGTCTTTGAACATGTGAGAATCTGATCAGTGTGCTCGTCGCAGTGAAGTGTCTGGCAGAAGTGAAAGGAAGCTTCCGATTTTCTGTCGGGCCAAGTCAATATTAATGAAATCACAAACAACATGCCCTTTGGTTCAAGGTTCTATTGCTCTCTTCGTCTTTCTATTGTGTTCCCGAATATCACTGAGAAACGTAACTTTCGGTGAACCCAGAAAATATATCCATGACCATCAAGTCTCCTTTTTCCTGCGCGACATCAACGATATCATTCCTGCGCGTCGTTCCCAGCAGACATCGACTCTCCAGGTCCAGTGTGTTCTGCTTCCAAGTTTTCGGCTGATGAAATCGCTTTAGCCATGTTTGGGTCGAGCCCATGAAGCGCCAACTGTTGATGTCCCTTGATATGTTCGGCAAGCGCAGCCTCGATGCGATGATAAAGTGAAATTTTACCCGCTACGATGTCGGCTGCCCATTTCTTCATCATCTGTCCTGGCATCCTATTCGGATGACCCTGTATATCGAGTTAGCATCGCCTGTTTTTGTCTAGCTGAACGTATCTCTCACCTTTACGACAATAGGCTCACCGCGTCCCACTGCTGCAACACGCTCCTTCATGACCTCATAGAATCGACCGGAGAAGTATGAGGCGGCATCGCTGATATCCACCCCCTCATCCGTAACGATACCAATGTCTTCTTGGATTTTCAACATATCTTGGCGGAGGCCACAGAACAGCAAGATCCAGTCGTAGCGGTCTTCGTCTGTGGTTTCTCCTATGCAATATCTGTTAGTACGGCGACGGTACACGATGTATATGAACACGGCAAATTTTGATACCGTATTCGGCAAAGTACATGGCGTCAATATCCTGCTGGGGCAAGAAGCTTGAAAAGTCGCTTCCAGGCTGCGGGGTCAGTGTTTGCATGGGCGGTTGCTCAGAGGCAACATTGTCACTGGTCTTGTCAGTGTTTGTCGCCATGTCGGAAGCGACACGGCTAGAGGTTCGTTGCGGCGAGATGTGTTCAAAAGGGCTTGTTGTTTTCTGTGCGCTCTTCTACTACGAATCTGGACGCACGGACCTCAGCGACTCTGATAGTGAAGAAGACTATTTGGTTTGTAGAAGTGGCGCACGGGCCACTTTCACTTTGATGGTGAAGGAGACTATCTGGCAGCAGACGGCTCGGCATGGATACACCAGCCATGGTGTCCGATTACTGGCTGACGGATTTGGTCGACGGACAGAACAGATGGACGGCAAATACGAGGGAATACACGCGTGATTGGCGACCTAAAAAAAGCTACGACCAAGGGGCAGCCAAACGATACCGTATTCGCCAGCGCATGTACATTTTGGCATGTACTTAGTGGCATACATTGTAGTAAGACACTGCCCATTTTGTCACTGATTTCGTCCACAACAAATTCGCAACAAGAACAAAGCAGATGATGGCCACGGCATGCATAATTGCGTAGACAAGATGGCACCTGAGACGAGCAGAAGCATGGCCATCCCAGGCCCCCGACGCGTGTCGCCGTTTTGCCAAAGCGCATGCAAGCCGCCCCCGCCCGCCACAGCACATGCCCAGGGGCTCTTCCGGACGGTCCTGGTGGGGCTTAGCTCAGCGCATCCCTGACTACGACGGTTGGCGACACGCGCCTTTTTCAGATGCAACCACGGCCATTGCCATGGCCTGAAACTGTCAAACTGGTCGTTTGTTAAAATCTCTTGGTCTCCGCATCCTCGATTCGCATCTTCACTCACCCTCATGCCCCGCCGCACTCGCTAACCATCATGTCGGCCTTCCGCAAACACATGCCGCGCACCACCCGCTTACTCGTCAGCGTCTTCTTCCTCTACATCTTCGTCTGGGTTAAGGGATGGCCGCGCATCTACGACGAGGAAGAGCTGCCTGCTGTCCAGCGCCCCCAGCAGCAGGGCGCCCCTGTCGGCCCTTACCAGGTTGAGCGCGACCAACTCGTCGTCTCCGTCACTACCACCGCCATCAACGTTCACTCCAAGGTCGCACCCCTCATCCTTAACACCGCCAACGAAGACCATGGCATGCTGCTGCTCTTCTCAGACCTTCAGTCCCAGGTTGGCGCCTGGCCTATCTTCGACGTCGTCTGGCGCCTTACCGCCGATGTCGTCTTGCACATTGACGAGTTGAAGAGATACCGCACCCAGCTTGACTTTGCGCGGAGGAGCATCCCCTTGCAAAACCTCGTAAAGGCGGACCCGGAGGAAGAGAGAAAGGATATGTTGATCCTGGACAAGTACAAGGTCCTACAGACAATGAATGCGGCCTGGGAATACCGACCCGGCCGCAGCTGGTACATTTTTGTCGACGATGAAACATACGTCAACAGGCCAAACTTGATCGAATGGCTCGGCCAGCACAATCCCGACGCAAAGCACTACTTTGCAAACCCACCCATACCCGCCGAGACTCTCGTTCCCGACCCATTCGCTCCCTCGGGCACCTCCTTCATCGTGTCGCGCAAGGCCATGGCGGAGCTGTTTGTAGACCGCAAAGACTACATCAAGAAATGGGCAAAGCACATTCCAGAATATACATCGGCATATCATTTAGTCACAAGTGTGTTGCAGGAGGAGCTCAACATGACCGCCGTTCCCGTATGGCCCGGCATTACCGGCTACGATCCTAGCACTGCGCCTTTCCATCCTTCGCTATGGTGCGAGCAAGTCATGATCATGCACCATGTCACACCAAGCATGGGTGGAGATCTGGCTAAATTGGAGAGAGAACAGCCCGCGCACCAGCCTATGCGCTTTGCAGACCTATGGAGCCGCTTCTTCACCCCGGAAGACCTAAACTCTACACGAAACAACTGGGACAATCTGTCCTCCGAAGCGTCAAACGGACGCTGGAACATCTTATTTGAAAACAACGAAGGCGCCAAGGACCGTGCCAAGTCAGGCGAAGAGTCACCAGAAGCATGCCAAAAATCGTGCGAGGCCAGCACATATTGTGTACAGTGGTCGTATTCGTCGATTCCCCAAACCAATTGGAATGACAACCCCGAAACAAAATGTCATCTCAGCAGCAGCATACGCTTTGGGGCCTATGTCAAGCCCAAAGAGGTGCAAGGAACTGACGGAAAGCAGACATTGAGTTGGAAGAGTGGATGGAAAAAGGCAAGGTTTCATAGTTGGGCAAGACGACAGCGATGCAATCAACATCTCCAGTAGGCCCTTTGTAGTACTTTGTTTTGCAGCGTTTTAGCGTTTCGTATTCTTCTGCATAATTTTTCCATTTTCTTTTCTTCCATCTTGTTTTGACTAGGCAGATCCCCTGCTCCTGAATTGATAGAGCGAGGTTATAGAAAGAGTAGATACCTGGGTGAACTCGCATTGGCTAGCCAACGTCCAGGAATTCGAGTACATGGAGGTCAATAATAGATTCAGCCGTCCCTCCCCCAAATGCTTAGTATAACGCGTGAGCACGTGTCTTCGCTTACTTAGACCCCAGCCATCCCCAGCCGTCCTCACAGCACGTACCAGCCTTGCAACCTGTCCTTCTCCCGTTTCTTGCTCAAGGCTCGATTGTATGCAGTCTAATCGGCCCGCTGCCTCTGCCCTGGGACCCGGTATCCCGTGAATTACATGCGCTGTGGAGAGAGGGGCTGGAACGTGTACGTGGCTCAGACCATACCTACGCGCAGACCCGCTTCGCGGTCCGTCAACACCAACAACTTTGCGCTCATTGCTCCTATCACCAACATCGCTACAATCACCATAAAAGCCGCTGAAAACAAATGAAAATGTCCATTTGATAACACTCAGCCATCTTTCCAAGGCCTATAATGTCACTCAACGACCTTCGGAAAGGCATAGCCTCTTATGGCGCAGGACCACAGCTGGATGCTCTGCCATCGGCAGATGGTATGACCTGGGTCCCGCAACCAGGCGCAAATCCTGCATTTTCTCTTTTAATTGGCAGCCTTGATGGGCAACAAATACTTGCCTACTTGACTCGATACGGAGAGAAGCCGCGAGAAGTGCGCTATTGTACGAGGCCTCCTCCTGATAGGCCCTTCAACAAGTCTACATCGTCAATGTCCACAGTTACCCAAGACGACGTCATGAAGGCATCTCTGCTTTCGCCATTTAAGTACCTTGCAGAAAATTCTAAGCCCATGAAGCGCAAGTTTAGCATGCTTATCCGGTGGTACTTTTTGATAAAGGGGTATATTGATGGCCTCGAGGGCGACCAAGGAGACTTTTGCAAAAGATTTAGCTCTGCAGTCAAGAGAATTGAGGAAGAGAAGCATGACGAGGAAGATGGTACTCAGAATCGCACGAGGCGAAACCGCGAAGCCATAGAAGAAAGCCCGGAGCCCGAAGACGCGGATAGTACTTACACCTTGCGCTCCAGCAGCCGTACTGGTAAGACGCACGTGACAAATGGCGACAAATCTGAGCCACAAAGCCCTTCAGTAAGATCGTCACGGGAGTTGAGGACCAGCAAGGGCAATCACGACCTCGAGCGTTTACTGGAGTACTTGAAAGACCACAACGCATTATATCTCCTAGACAACTTACCTGAAGTGTCGGAGATGCAATTTGTGGGCCAAACATCTATACCCGAAGCCCAGCCGATGAAGCTTTTTGTTGGACGCGAAGCGAAATCCGGCGAT